CAAATTAACCATAGTAACATAATAAATATAAAAGCTTCTTTGGTACTGCTTCCTTGCCACAATATTTAAGTTGATTATAAATAAAAGTATTCTTCTAGTTTTCTTACCATCTGGTTTCTCCACAGACCGGCGTTCTGGCTTTTAAAGAGGGCGACAGCATGTTAATCTTCCACTGAAGACATAAGTCCATTTTCAAACCCTTGATCTGTACTCTGAGGCGAACCCCACTCTGGTCTGGTACACACAGTTCAGAGGCTTACGTATATACAGACACACACACACCACTTCTCATAATCACTGGTACGTTGCTGGTAATGTGTCTTACACACACACTCAGATGTGTGTGCAATGTGGAGTATTCCAAAGCAGCAGTTCAAGTGGCTTAACTCATTCCTGGCATGTGAGAGACACACACACACACACACAAACACAAGCACGATCCCTCTGCAGGCCTGTGCCAGTCATATTTAGGCAGAGTGCCATCAGCCTGGCACCTGGCAGACACGAGCATGGCTGCAGCAGGTGGGAATGGGTGTGTGTGAAGCTATAAAAGCAAATTGAAGCATAATTGCCCAATAAGGGAGTCGAAAAGAGCATTTTGAGGGTAGAGTTGAGGGACTGCGCTGCTAAGGGAATACAAGATGTTCCTGTTCTTGCCCTCATATGGCGAGGGAGACGAAGAGAAAAACAGGCACGTGATGCCAAGTCACTGGGAAATAACGCAGAAATGAAGTGATAGAAGCTGAGGTTGGGGACAACTGGAGGAAAATAAACAAAGAACTGTAGTAAGAAAAATACCAACATAGAACATCGAATGATCATCAGCTTTTTGTCTTCAAGCACTTCCTGTAAACTGCAAAAAAGTCTAAAAGGAAAAAGCCATGGAGCAACCACACATGGTACCCTGGTGAGTCTGGGATTAGGGGTCCACTGTTAAAAGCTATTCAAGCTCTCTAAAAACAACAGCCATATTAACGTGTGCAAATCATTTTGATCAAACTGAAATGTTTTCGGATTAAATAATCTGAACCTATCATTTAAATGAAATATTACTGACATATAAACTTTCCTTAAAGAAAACACAGAAAAAGTTCTATTTTCGTGATGAACATAAACAAACGTCTTCTGAGTGCTCAGAGTGAACCTGCAACAGGTTTAAATACTGATGGAGACGTTACTGTACTCCATGGTTGAGCTACAGGTGAAGCAACATGTTTTTTTTTGTTTGTTTGTTTGTTTGTTTGTGTGTTTGTTTGTTTGTGAAGTAACATATGCTGTTTGTGTTCCGTCTTTATCAGATGAGAATGGGAGGAAAAAAACATCCTTGAAAGTTCTGTGTTGTCAGCAACTCTAGCACTGCTGCCCTTAAACCAGTGGATGAAAGTCAGAAGTCAGTCAGGTTAGTTTTCCACAACCAGAATAAAGGTTGGATTATAGTTCTTGTCGCACATCTTTTACCACCCGCTGAGTGAAAAAAAGTTGCGCAACTTCAGTCTGCACCCCCGTTGGGAACCCCCGGTGACAGCTGTCCTATACATCGCCCCCAGTCAGCACTCCGAGACGCGGAGGATGCGGCGCAGAGTGTGTGATTGGTTCAAAGTTTGTGGGTGTTTTTGTGCTGTGTGACACCGCTACTCGCTACCAGAAGCCGTTTTTTGTTTCTAAACATGGATAGTTTCGAAGAGAAACTCACCGAGGCGGTCCGGAGGTATAACAATCTGTGTCCTATACTGCGACGCTGCATGATGAAGGTGAGGGGAGATTCAGTGGGCAAAAAAAAAAAAGATCCGGTGGCAAGTTCCTCGAAATGAGCAGAGGACATTTGAAAGTAGAAGTGTTTTTTGTCATCCAACCCCCGGACAAGCTAAACTCGCAACTAGCAAGTTTTTTTTAGCAACTAGCAGTTATTTACATGCTAAGCTAGCGCGTGACGTCTGCAGTGGGAGGGCAGAGGGAGGGATTACTATAAAGTATCCCCCATGTCTCACGCAATTACGTCATCGCTGGGCCGCAGCCACACGTCTTGCATGAAGTATAAACAAACCTTAAGTGTTGACATGCACACTGTTTGGATTACCAATCGGCATAAAGCACCCTTCTAATTAGGATTACAAATTCATTCTGATCGAGCTGAACCAGAACAAAATATTCCTAATGGGGCATTTACATTATGCATTTTTATTCCAATTGGCCGTTTATTTCGATAACTTATGTCCATGTAAAGATAGTTAGTGAGAGAAACTGGTTTTACTGGATATGAATTTGGCTGTAGGAGTCCAGTTCAGTGACCTCATGGAAGAGTAAACTGCCCTCTCCAGGTTGTGAGAGGAGTTTAAGTGTTTTGGGGTATTTTTCACAGATGAGGAGAGCATACAGCATGAGCCTGAGGGACATCCATCCATCCATCTATCCATCCATCCATCCATCCATCCATCCATCTATTGGTGTTGCAAACTCAGTACTGCTCTGTTGTGGTGAAGAAGGTCTAGATAAGGTGAGAAATTCAGTTATTGGGGAGAGACCTGAGAGACCATTGAGAGGAGCCAGATGAGGTGATTTGAGCATCTGGGAAAGATGCCCCTTAAACACCTACTTATGGATGTGTTTGGGCATTTTCAACTGGGAGGAGATTGGGAATAACCCAAGACATTCTGGAGAGACTATGTACATGAATGCCAACTTTATTCACTGATAATCTGGCCTTTTCTCCATTTTTGTGGATAAATTTACTAGTTTTTCATTTACAACGCTCTCATTGGGAAAACCTTGCTGTATCTAGTCACTTCTTACTATCCACAATGTAAATCCAACTCTCCATCCAAGTCGTTTCATGAAGATCACTGAACTAGATTTAGCAACCTGTTTTAAAATTTTTGCCACTGTTTATTGTTGTTCCCACTGCTCTCCACTGGATTAGGTGTAATATGTTGTAAAAATGTTGAATGTGTAATACTGCATCTTGGCCAGGTTATGTAAAATAAAATTTAATGTTATTATTATTAATAATCAATGGGGAGTTTGTCTGCATTAAGGACTGTTTGTCTGGTTCGTTCTTGTGAATGGGAAGTTGAGGCAAAGAGCAAAGCTCTTGATTAAATGACCCCCATTCCAGCGCTCCTCTACAGTCATGAAGTATGGATCGTGATCAAAAAGATAAGATAACAGGCCCTCCATAGGGTGGCTGGACTCAGCCTCAAAGACAGGACAAGGAGTTCTGTCATCTGATGGGAGCTTGGAGGAGAGCCACTGCTCCTTTGCACTAAAAAGACTCAGCTGAGGTGTTTCAGGCATCTGATTAGGATGCATCCTGACAACCTCTACTCAACGTTTTCTAGGCATGTCCCTCCAGTAGGAGACCCCCAAGCCAGACCCAGAACTCACTGCAGGGATTATGTATCTTCCTTGGCCTGGAAACATTTTGGGATCCGCCAGGAGCATCTGGAGGACGGATGTCTGGGTTTTTCTCTTGGTGTCTCACACGTTGCCCAACCAGAATTAAGTACAAGAAAATGGATGGTTTTAAAACACATTATGTTAGTTTTACGCTGAGTGCATTTCATTTATAAACAACACAATCTGAGAGTGCCAAACTTTGCTCAAGGACAATCTAATGTAATGCAGGTAAACCATCTTGAGACGAGTTTTTTTTTAATTGAATAAAAAAACGAAGGTGCTTTTGTGAAAATACAGTCTAGAACTGACTACCCTGACATCGCAGATGAAAGCTACTTGAAAGTCAGTCTCCTGCTGAGCACCACAGTGTGAAATCCATTGAAATCAGCTTTTAAATACTGGAGAGACACACGAGGGTGGGGATGTGCAAAGGCCTCTCGCTCAGCCGTGACCTCACCCCGCACAACATCTGCAAAAGTGAAAAACAGAGGGAGACAGAGGGGCTCGGCTGGCAGCCTCAGGATGCAAAACATCAAATCTATAAATCAGCTGCACAAATGAAGTCCCACATCACAAACCTACGCAAAAAATGAAGAAAAAAAATCGGGAGTACTTCAGTGCAGACTACACAAACAGGAGGACTGGTGCCAAGAAGCACATAGTTGTTCCCCATCCAGAGCCTGAGTTAGCAGCCATCTGGGATGTGGTTTTTTTCACAGGAGAAGGCATGACTTATGTTCATATGATGTTACATTGTAGACATTCAAATTTGTTTACCCTAACAGTCCTCTTGTTGTCGCCTCTTCCTAAACCGTCCAACTTTATTGGTATTCTCCACTGGTGTTTAAATCCCACATCTCCTGTTTGCTCTGCTCTTATCCAAAGCAGACAACAGCATATGGAGGAATAAAAAAGTCATGATGCTAACCACTTGTGGCTCTTCTGATGGGAATATGAGGAAATGGGTTTCAAAGGGATGAATTTAGTGCAAAAAGATCACCCATGTGTTCAGGCTCATAAAACAGAAACAAAAACACACATACTGAACTAGCTTCTGATTTATAAACTGTTAAAAGAATGGGAGGACTTCTATAAACACACACACATATACATAAATGTCCTAATTTTGAAATGTTGTCTATGTGTTACCTCTGACTTCCCACCATTTAGACTGCATGAGTCCAGCTGGTTTGCACGCTCACCAGATGTGAGTCTGATTGATATTTTTGGCTCTCTACCTCTCTTTCACACTCACAATAACCCTCCCAGATCCAGATGTTCTGTGTTTAGCAGCGGCTCAGAGAATCGGACTAAATGGGACACACTCCTCCCTCACACGTCTTCACCAGCAGATGCTGACGGAACACACCTAAAACACAGAGGGAGGAACGGGGGGGATTGTTCCAAACACACATACACTGTGAACCCATTAGATGAGTCACTGACACCTCAGGTTACGGTAAGCCACATGTCCGTAAAAACTCCAGAGAATTGAGGAGCGGATAGGAAGAGGTGGAGCGATGTGTGTGTGTGTGTGTGTGTGTGCGTGCGTGCGTGCGTGCGTGCGTGCGTGCGTGTGTGTGTGTGTGTTGTGGGAGCATACTTACAACTTTCAGCTTTTTCACTGCCTCCTCACATACATGCATCCCTCTGGACTCCTCCACCTCTACCAACCCCAGATACTGCAGTGAAATGAGAACAGAGGCATTGATGTCAGAGCTCAGCAGGTTTTTGACTTCTTTTTTTTTACAACAGTTTTTCATCAGTGCAAAACCTGAGCTGAATTGTGTAAAAAAAACCTCATCAGTAGTTCAGTAAGTGTGAAGAAAATGGCAGACCACTGATTGTGTGCTTGGACTGGTAGCTCTGATTGTGTCAGAAGCCAAGTGAAGCAGTAAGACGAAGATGAATTTTGGGAGAATTAAAGGGATCCCCGATTAGTTGTAACATTAGACTTTATATGACAAACATACACTTTAACTGTAAAAATACTGTAGGATGTTCAGCTGAGGTTCTTCTTCCATGAAGCAGCTCTGTTGTCCTCCATCCATATTTTCAGTTACAGGCTGAGTCATTTCTACCTTCTCCTCTCTGTCAACGCTCTCTGTCCATCCATCCATCCATTTTCTTCCGCTTATCCGGAGTCGGGTCGCGGGGGCAGCAGCTTCAGAAGGG